GTGTGTGTGTGTGTGTGTGTAGATTGACCCAAATGGAGGAGCAGGTATGTTTTGTATGGTCTGTCAGGTATTAAAAGAAAGTAATACCCATCCAGGAAAGCAAAAAAAAAAAAAATAATAATTTCCTATTCACAAACTCCATAGAGGAAACCACACAGCATCTAGAGTTGGGATAGTGTAAAAACAATTTGGGGTTGTGGAAAAGAACTTCTACATTACAAGCAGGGTGGATTGGCAGGGTTGGCATAGGGTCATGTTTCTTGGTCAGTTTAAGGAGATGTTCTCATGATTGGAAGACGTATGGGACATGACATGGTGGGAAGGGCAAGTTTAAAGTTAGGGTTATTGTTCTGTTTCTTGACATGCCTAATTGTTTTAATTGAATGATTGACTTTATATAGTAAAAATTATGAATCCGAATGATGTTTTCTGCCTTCAATGAATCAAGAGTGTGGACTAAGCATTATAAACCACTGCTAGTTAGGCTAGATTTAAGCAAGGTTGCATATTTGTCAAGTCTCAACCAATTCATGGTTTAACTCCATTCCTAGGTCACAAGTCTTTAACTGCTATAAGTATTTTACCAGGACTCCTCCTTTAACGTTTGTTTTAATTTTATACAAATGTTTCTTCCTACCTTACAAATAATTTGTAACTTTTGAAAAGTATATTGTACCAGAGGCTACCCAACTTTATTCTAATTATTTGACAATATTTATGCATTTTCTGTGTAAAGTTATGCCACATTTTTCTTACATTTGTTGTTATTGTTACGTGCCATCAAGTCACTTGCAACCCTTTGTACAGCAGCTCTAAAGCCCTGTCCTGAGACATTGTCATTAATTCAGAAACACCAAGCCTTTTGCCCCAGGCACTGTTATCAATCCATCTCATCTGGGATCTTCCTCTCCTGTGCTGTCCCTCTACCCTTTTAAGCATGATGTCCTTCTCCAAGGACCAATCTCTCCTGGCTTCGTGCCCAAGGTATATGAAAAGGAGCTTAAATATCGTAACCTCCAGGGAGAGACTTGCTTTCCTCTTCTTCAAAACAGACCTATTTCTTTTCTTGGCAGTGCATGGTATCTTCAAGACTCCTCTACAACACCACTCGATGGCATCAATGATTCTTCTGTCATCTTTATTCATTGTACAGCTCTCTAATGCATAGCAAGTACTTGCAAAGAACATGGCCTGAATTAGGCGCACCTACGTATCTAGACTAACATCATTGCTTTTCAGTACTCTGGAGAGGTCCCTGCCAGCAGATTTTACCAGTGCAATCTGTCTTTTGATTTCCTGATGGCTGGTGTTAAGAGTATTGATTGTGGAGTGGAGCAAGTTGTAATTGTTAAGAACCTCAATCACTTCTCCATCTGACAACCTCAATCTCTTCTCCATCTGGAACAGTACATTGACGGAGAACTACCAGAAATAAAACCTCGGATTAGAAGAAGTTGTGGCACTAGATACTTTATTGCCAATGTCAGATGGATCTTGGCAGAAAGAAAAACATACCAGAGGAATGTCTATCTGTGTCTGATTGGCTATGCAGAGGAATTTGACTGAGCGGATCACAGCAAATTGTGATTAGTCAAAAGGAGAATGGAAATCCCAGAACTTTTGATTGTGCTTATGCGAAACCTATACTTGGTCCAAGAAGCTGTCCTTGGAACAGAGCAGGGAAACACTGCATGGTTCAGAGTCAGAAAAGGAAATTGTCTAGGATGCATCCTTCTCCATACCTTTTCAATCTGTATGCATAACAGATCATTTGGGAAGCGGGGCTTTATGAGGAGGAATGTAGAATCAGAATTGGAGGTAGACTCATTAACAACCTACATTATGCAGATGACACAACCTTGCTTGCTGAAATGGATTAAAGCTTAACATTAAGAAGACAAAGATTCTCACCACTGGGCCAATTGGCAGCACCTTGATAGATGGAGAAGAGATTGAGGTTGTTAACAATTATAGCTTGCTCAGCTTCACAGTCAACACATTTGTTTTTAAGACAGTTAAAAAAACACACACCCAAATCCAAATAATGGCTACAATTT